CCACAAAATGCAGAAGATAATACTAATTGACTATTTTTGGGACCTAATCAAAAACATTGAAAGTTGAACTACTAACCATATTGCCACCATAACTAAAATAAAAATGAATGAAGGTCAATTTTTGTCATCGTTAATAAATATACTCTCAGGCGTTTAGTCTAACGATGGATAATCGTCTGATATACGAGAGAACTGGAAGATGTGTAAACTACAAAAGCCATGATAATGCCAAATTTCTGGAACTTATAGATTGCTCTGATGTCACAGAATCGTTCTTTACAGAAGACAAAGATGAAATGCTTTACATACAGCGTATCGTGAAGAATGAAGAGCTGTGCATCACACCAATGTCAGAGAGGAACGATTTGAACGTTACAACAAGTCCTTGTCTGGAGGATCCTGTTGGATTAACACGTTGTAATAAGCATGCTTCCAGAATGCTACTGATGGAGGAAGATGTTTTTCAAGAAGACAGAAAATTGTTAAAGATGGCTGTTGTACCTCTAAATAGTTCATGTGACTTTAAAGCGTGTGGGTTCAACAAAAGAGAGCCGGTGAAACTCCTGCCACCTGACCAGGTGGGAAGATGTACAAATCTGTGGGAATGTGTGACACTTGCAGTAAAAACAACCAGAAGACCACATCTTATATTGCGTCTAGCTCGATCAGTGAGAGACAGTCTGGGGTTCGATCTCCCGATAGTTGCATACGACGACGGACCAAACGATTACCCTGATGAAATATATCAGCAAATTGCAGAGTATCCCTTATTACAGTACGTAGTGAGTAAAAATGAAGATCTCGGTATAGCTCGAGGGAGAAATTTGGCTGTTATGCAGGTCAAGACTAAATACTTCTTCCTTCTTGATGATGACATCAAGTTCAACGAATACACAAAACTCGATAAACTTGTTGAAATCCTGGACACTACCGACGTCACTGTGGCCTCAGCTGCTTACAATGTAATCGGTTTTACTTCATACCTTGAAATCGGACATTTCAACGAGAACAAGGCAAAGCGTAGACTGGGAGTTTATCATGAAGCTTGCACAATTGTCAACCAAACAATTCCAAACCATCCAAGTTGTGTCAGATGCAATCTTACTCAAAACGTATTTCTGGCACGAACCAAAGAGATATTGGATATAGGAGGATGGGACCCAGAGCTAATGATAGTGGAACACAAGGATATATTTATTAGACTGAAAGCAGCTGGCATGAAAGTTGCACTTTGCCCGGATGTGAAAGTAAAGCACGCTCGTCCGTCAAAGATAGCAGTTAAAGGCGAGGACTACTCAGAAAAAAGGAGACGAGCAACAGGAAGGTTTGATAAGTATGATTTTAAAAATATGATTTAAAAAATTATTTTAAAAATATGATTCAAAAGATTTTAATTTATAAAAAAAGTCCCATAATGTGACCAACAATGAGTCAATGACTTGTGATTCGAAGTTTAAATTACAGAAAGACTTCATGACACTACCACTAAATAAACAAGAAATGCGGCAGCTTTTCTTTTGTGGATGACCGCTCAATTTCCCGATCCGTGATGGCGTCTATTATCATATTCCATACAATCTGGGGACCCCGTCTTAACTGTTTATAAGCATGCAGATATGGCGGAGTGACAGGCCGAGCGCCGCCCAGTAAATTCCATTTTAAATTTTAAAATCGTGTATATTTCTATGTAACCATATGTTTATTGTTTATGCAACCTGACACAGATCTGTGCAAAATAGTAATATTAACTCGAAATAATAATTATAATATGCTATCAATTAGTGCCTAGTGGGATAGGTACATGGTGAAATTAAAAATTCACAAGGTAAATTAAGCACCATGCGCCAACAATTATTTATTTCAGAATAACCCCGCAAAATTACTTAAATAATAAAAGTAGCGTTGAAACAGAGGTATTAACTGTACTTAATCCAGGTTTAGAGCTCTAATAAACAACAGATGGAACATTCATAGACTATTCGAGAGACCGGCAAGAACTCACTTGGTGATGAACCACGATACAGGAGAGATAACATACAAGGAGGAGAAGGAACGTGGATGCTAATTATTGTCAAACAAAAATTGCATTTTCGAGACCTGACTTTTAGACGTTCGGCTGATATCTTTGCCATTAAAAAGGTCGCCAACTCTTTCAGAATAGAAAATCTTTCAGGATAGAATGGTTTCAACTAAAATTCCTAACCTCTCCAGAATAGAGCAGGGATTACCTGCTGATAGTTGTTGCTCTAGGGTCAAATAAGAGCTGTTCTCTGTTTGGGATACCTAAAGGGCCAATTTTAAATTTTTGGCCTATTTCAATATTTCCCTTTTTAATTATCGTGTTCTTTCTTATATGAATATCATTGTATAATATAAATCAGTCTTGTCGTTTGTTTGCAGTTTAAGTTTCTTTAAGTAGTGAATCAGACCAGTGATCGACCGGGATCCCGGCCCCGGCCCCGGATACGGCCGGGATTTGTGTTTTTTCCCCGGCCCCGGCAATATAATTTTCAAAATCCTGGCCCCGGCCCCGGCCAGAGGCCCCCAATCCCAGCCCCGGCTGTTTTTGTCAATTTTTGCCGGGATTTCTCGTATTTTCTGCCTCAATTCAAACCGATAGATTATCAGAATTTATCTTGATTTTTAGACTTAAATTAAACACAAAATTTTCGGTAACATGAGATCGAGTGAAAAATATAAATACGAGGACTTGACATCATTCCAGTTTGATATTCAGAAAATTTTAACTTTGAATTTACAAAGAATGTAAAATATTAATGTTAATTAAAAAAGTTCGAGGTTGATTGAAAAGTTCGAGTTAAGTCATGTGTTCGTGTACCGTCTTTCATATAACTAGTACAAACGTCAAACAATTTAGTTCAGGAGCAAAAAACAGTAGAGGGTGAGGCCGACTCAATGCAGATGATGATGATAGTCATCAGATCACAGATGACTACTCGTTTCCGGTGTCAGCTTCAGTATCCGAAATATCTATGTCCGATGTTTCGTCTTCGCTCTGTCTCGATTCTGTCATAACAGTTTCCGGAAACTTTCAAAAAATTTCAAAATTAGATTAAAAAAATCCCGGCCCCGGCCCCGGCATATTTTAGCCAATCCCGGCCCCGGCCTTGGCAACATTTCAAAATCCCGGTTAATCCCGGCCCCGGCTGATTCAACTTGGTCCCGGCCCCGGCTAAATTTCGTCCCCGGTCGATCCCTGAATCAGACCCAATGTTTGTATAAGTTGGCTATTTTTACGCTATGAATTTCAACTTAATTAAATGTTCGTATTTTTATCCGATTTGTTTGTATTGTTGCTGCTGTACGATATATACATTATAAATTATATTTATTCCATACAATTACATAATAGTATTTTCTATGAGTAACCTGATGAGATACATCAGCAAATTGCAGAGTATCCCTTATTACAGAGATGAAGATCTCGCTATAACTCGAGGAATTAATTTGGCTGTTAAGCAGGTCAAGACTAAGTACTTCTTTCATCTCGACGAGAATACACAAACTCGATAAACTTGTCAAAACCCTGGACACTACTGATGTCACTGTGGCTTCAGCTGCTTATTTGAGGGAATATCTTAACTGGATACTTTAAATTTCAATTTGTAAATTTCAAAGTTTGTACTTCAACAACATAGTAGAATGTTAATTGTTGTAAAGGTCTAGTTTGTACTCATATGTGAATATGTGAACCGTTAATCAGAGTGTAATTTTAACTCCCACCAAATTACTTTCTAAGCAGACCTCGAGAAAATAAACAGATCTGGTCTAAGACATAAGTCGTGTTTCCATTATTTCACTTGAAAACTTAAAAGCTATCCTCCAATCAGATAAAACCACCCAATCTCGAACTCCAGTAAGAATATAAAAACTACAACTATTCTTCTTTCTAGATCTACCTCATCAGCTGGTTCAATAATACACATTACACATATGCAAGCTTTTTAGTTAACAAAAGCGAGGCATGTACTCATAGAGATACTAGTCTTAGTCATATTACCCAAGTTTGTCTTGCTAGAACTTCACTCGTAATAAATTAATAATTCTACATTTTACAGCGTACTTACTGTATTAATTAATCAGCTGATCAGCATTGATTATTAGTGTTAATATTGTTAATAATGATTTGTCCTTTCTATTCGCTTGTTTGCCTTAGCAAATTTTCCGATCAATTAAGTGTTCACAAGATCAATTATATATAATATCATATTTAATTATCACAATATGATAAATCAAACGTCACTGATAAAGACTGGAGCTACCGCACTTTGTAGTTGAAACTTACACCAAGATGAAAAATAGTTTCAATAATCTGATATAAATGAGCTTATACTCTAGTTTACCATACCTAACGACCATGTCCCATTATTCCCCGGCCATGCAGTTAGTTCAAACACATCTAGAAGTATCTTACATTTTTATATCAAAAGTTAGCAAAATTTGGCCAGTGCACACATGGCCAAAATCAGTTAGACTAATAAATCCATCATAAGGCATTTTCGGCATAGATTGTTGCATAATTTCTATATGATTGTGGCCATTGCGGTCAATTTGAGCCTTCACAAAAGTTTGTGCAATGTTCAGGAGCTGAAATTACTGTGTATATACGAATATAAGACAAGTGGGCGGGGCCAAAAGAGCAACTTCGCCAGTCTGAAGTTTTGGGCTCGGATAGTCGGATTTGTTTGTTTCTAAAAACCTTGGAAAGGACCCCAAAAAATGTCAAGCCTTCTACTATGAAATGCAGGTCGATGTGCATAAATGAGAAGATTATAAGTGGTTAATAATTGACTTTGAGGGTCATCAAATGGCCAAGAAACTATTAACTTTATGTGGTTGCATGTTATCTTATATCAAGTTCTATTTTTAAGTGGCAAAAGATATTGGTCTCATTTACAGATCCAAATTTTTAGAAACGGTCCCCCTCCCTAATTTTATCTTTTCTTTCAAAATTATCTTAATATATCAAATCCTATTTTTAGGTGGCAAAAGATATGAGTCTCGTTCGCAAAATAAAGTCAACATTAACTCGATGGCTGCATCTAATCAAATTAGTCCTCGTGGTTTTGATGATCATTTTTATCTTTTACAATTTGAGGAGTGGGATAGTATACGATCTTGCATTCCTAGGAAATTCGACTAAAGAAAACAAGCTAATGGTTTCTTTTCCAGTGGAAACAAGGGAAAACTCCAAAAATATCAGTATTCATACCAATATTAGTGGTTACATATTCCACAACCATCGATTAAGATTATGGTATGAAGGTAGATGTATAGACTCTAGTGACGGAGAAAAGTTGACAGTACAGTTTTGTGATCCTAATTTACAGCAGGTGAGACTTAGTGTCAACTTATGTTTCTTCCACAAAATGCAGAAGATAATACTAATTGACTATTTTTGGGACCTAATCAAAAACATTGAAAGTTGAACTACTAACCATATTGCCACCATAACTAAAATAAAAATGAATGAAGGTCAATTTTTGTCATCGTTAATAAATATACTCTCAGGCGTTCAGTCTAACGATGGATAATCGTCTGATATATGAGAGAACTGGAAGATGTGTAAACTACAAAAGCCATGATAATGCCAAATTTCTGGAACTTATAGATTGCTCTGATGTCACAGAATCGTTCTTTACAGAAGACAAAGATGAAATGCTTTACATACAGCGTATCGTGAAGAATGAAGAGCTGTGCATCACACCAATGTCAGAGTGGAACGATTTGAACGTTACAACAAGTCCTTGTCTGGAGGATCCTGTTGGATTAACACGTTGTAATAAGCATGCTTCTAGAATACTACTGATGAAGGAAGATGTTTTTCAAGAAGACAGAAAATTGTTAAAGATGGCTGTTGTACCTCCAAATAGTTCATGTGACTTTAAAGCGTGTGGGTTCAACAAAAGAGAGCCGGTGAAACTCCTGCCACCTGACCAGGTGGGAAGATGTACAAATATGTGGGAATGTGTGACACTTGCAGTAAAAACAACCAGAAGACCACATCTTATATTGCGTCTAGCTCGATCAGTGAGAGACAGTCTGGGGTTCGATCTCCCGATAGTTGCATACGACGACGGACCAAACGATTACCCTGATGAAATATATCAGCAAATTGCAGAGTATCCCTTATTACAGTACGTAGTGGGTAAAAATGAAGATCTCGGTATAGCTCGAGGGAGAAATTTGGCTGTTATGCAGGTCAAGACTAAGTACTTCTTCCTTCTTGATGATGACATCAAGTTCAATGAATACACAAAACTCGATAAACTTGTTGAAATCCTGGACACTACCGACGTCGCTGTGGCCTCAGCTGCTTACAAGGTAATCGTTTTTACTTCATACCTTGAATTTGGACATTTCAACGAGAACAAGGCAAACCGTAGACTGGGAGTTTACCATGAAGCTTGCACAATTGTCAACCAAACAATTCCAAACCATCCAAGTTGTGTCAGATGCGATATTACTTCAAACGTATTTCTGGCACGAACCAAAGAGATATTGGATATAGGAGGATGGGACCCAGAGCTAATGATATTGGAACACAAGGATATATTTATTAGACTGAAAGCAGCTGGCATGAAAGTTGCACTTTGCCCGGATGTGAAAGTAGACCACGCTCGTCCGTCAAAGATAGCAGTTAAAGGCGAGGACTACTCAGAAAAAAGGAGACGAGCAGCAGGAAGGTTTGATAAGTATGATTTAAAAAATATGATTTAAAAAATCATTTAAAAAATATGATTCAAAAGATTTTAAAATATAAAAAAAGTCCCATAATGTGACCAACAATGAGTCAATGACTTGTGATTTGAAGTTTAAATTACAGAAAGACTTCATGACACTACCACTAAATAAACAAGAAATGCGGCAGCTTTTCTTTTGTGGATGGCCGCTCAATTTCCCGATCCGTGATGGCGTGTATTATCATATTCCATACAATCTGGGGACCCCCGTTTTAACTGTTTATAAGCATGCAGATATGGCGGAGTGACAGGCCGAGCGCCGCCCAGTAAATTCCATATTGAATTTGAAAATCGTGTACATTTCTATGTACGTAACCTTATATGTTTATTGTTTATGCAACCTGACACAGATCTGTGCAAAATAGTAATATTAACTCGAAATAATAATTATAATATGCTATCATTTAGTGCCTAGTGGGATACATGGTGAAATTAACAATTCACTAGGTCAATTCAGCACCATGCGCAAACAATTATTTATTTCAGAATATCGCGCAAAATTACTTAAATAATAAAAGTAGCAATGAAATAGCGGTATTAACTGTACTTAATCCAGGTTTAGAGCTCTAATAAACAACAGATGGAACATTCAGAACATATTCGATAGATCAGCAAGAAATCACTTGGTGATGAACCACGATACAGGAGAGATAACATACAAGGAGGAGAAGGAACATGAATCATGTTAATGTATTTATAATCATCAATTAGTTACCACTTTAAACATTGTCAAACAGAAATTGTATCCCCAGGAAACCTTACTGGCTGGGGCTTAACTTCAAAAGTAAGAGAGCTAGAGACTTCCGGCTTTTTGCAAAATGTTCGCCTTATAAAAATAACGTTTCCTTCCCAGAAGGAAAATTAAGGACAACATAGATTTTGACTTATCTCAAAATCTCCAGAAAAGTTTCATTTTGGGCCGATCACAAGTTTGCAAGTTTAACTTAGCGGATTCCTGTCGTCTGATTGGCTGAATTGTGTCCCGTGCTGGCTGCTTAAAGATTGGAAAGTGCCACGTGTGCAAATCACTTAATGTCGCGCGCAAGGTCAAGCCATCTGTTTAAATTAGACAACCTGTAGTAACACGGCCAGCCAGTAATATTTAACGTTTCCTGGGTCTTCGAGACCTGCCTTTAGAAGTCCGGCTGATAACTTTGGCATTATAAGGGTTGCCAACTCTTTCAGAATAGAACATCTTTCAGGATAGAATGGTTTCAACTAAAATTCCTAACCTCTCCAGAATAGAGCAGGGATTACCTGCTGATAGTTGTTGTTCTAGGGTAAAATAAGAGCTGTTCCCTGTTTGGGATATGGATACCTAAAGGGTCAATTTTAAATTTTTAGCCTATTTAAATATTTCCCTTTTCAATCATCGTGTTCTTTCTTATATGAATATCATTGTATCATATAAAATATAAATCAGTCTTGTCGTTTGCAGTTTAAGTTTCATTAAGTTGGCTATTTCTACGCTATGAATTTCAACTTAATTAAATGTTCCTATTTTTATCCGATTTGTTTGAATTGTTACTGCTGTACGATATCCATTATAAATTATATTTATTCCATATAATTACATAGTAGTATTTTCTATGATTAATCTTATGAGATACATCAGCGAATTGCAGAGTATCCCTTATTACAGTACGTAGTGAGTAAAAATGAAGATCTCGCTATAACTCGAGGAAGGAATTTGGCTGTTATGCAGGTCAAGACTAAGTACTTCTTCCTTCTTGATGATCATAATATCATGTTCAATGAATACACAAAACTCGATAAACTTGTTGAAATCCTAGACACAACTGATGTCACTGTGGCTTCAGCTGCTTATATTCATACAGGGTGGGCCAAAAGTCAGTGGGCATACGTTGGCCTTAATAGCTCCGCCGTGTTTTATATTTGAGAGCTGTTGCTTTGCAGATGGCATACTGAAGGGAAAGGAAGCAGTTCTAACGAGCTCTTCTCAAACACAAGGATATATCTTGTGAACTTGGCTAGTATATATGAAACATTTGATATGGAGTTGTAGAGGGAGTTATGTGCCTCGCCGGGCTAAAGTAGTGGATGACCTTGCTGTACGGCAAGTTAAACAAGGATCTGAAACTACTAGGTTCCGTACAGACTCAACTCTGCACCCGTGTCAATATGTTCATTATATGCAAGCCTCTTGATTTATACTGTACTTACTGGTTCGAGGATTTCGTCGTCAAAATTTGAAAATTCGAATATTCTAGACCACGCCCATTCAATATTAAAACACCTATATTGTTTTCTCTGAACATGCTGAACGCCTATTTTTTTCAGAGACGGTAGATTATTAAATGTTGCATATGATCTGAAAACATGAGGCAAAACGGATTAGAAATGACGAAGTTATCAAGCATTTTCTGTATCTCGTTAACAACATTGACTGGGTGATTATGTGACACCGTGACACGACACCTTAATTGGGCACCCTTAACAATTCCCATAATGTTTAACGGGGTGGTTAACGGGGTCACCTAATCACGTGATTAGGTAAATCATTCACCTGATCACACGTAATGAATAAACTCGTTATGCTTCATATCTCTGTCATCTGAGAAGCTACAGTTCTAATTTTTTCAGGACAAACGTAATTCGAATGGCCAAACACAATTCAATAAAATTTAGCTCGATTCGACTATCAAAACTATCAAATGAATGCAAAAATGAATCTCATTTGAAAAAAATGAACTCTAATATTTATCGATTTGACAAATTCCTCGAACCAGCGGTGGTAGTAAGTCATACCAGAAAGAATTATTTCAATTGGGCACTCAGTGACTGAGCTATTAAGGCCAACGTATGCCCACTGACTTTTGGCCCACCCTGTATATATGGGGGAATAGCTTAACTGGACACTTTCAATTTCAATTTGGAAACTTTCAAAGTTTGTGTTCCAAACACATAGTAGAACTAGAGAAAATTGATAGTGCGTGGTGAAACTGTTGCGAAATTCGTGTTTGCCATTGGAACCCCCCAATCTTTATTGTTGTAGCGGTTTATTTTGTACTCATGGGAATATGTGATGATATGTATGATGATACACATAACTATAAGCAAGCTTTTTCGTTAACAAAAGCGAGGCATGTACTCATATAGATTGTAATCTTATTGTTATTGTCTAAGTTTGTCTTAGCTGCACTAGTAATGAATTAATAATTCTACATTTTACAGCGTACTTACTGACTTAATTTATCAGTTGATTGATCGGCATTAATTATTAGTGTTAATGTTGTTAATAATGATTTTTCCTTTCTATTCGCTTGTTTGCTTTATCAAAATTTCAGATCAATTAAGTTTTCTCATGATCAATTATATATAATATCATATTATCACAATATGATAAATCAAACGTCACTGAATAAGACTGGAGTCACCGCACTTTGTAGTTGGAAAATGGAACTTACACCAAGATGACAAATAGTTTCAATGATCTGATATAAATGAGCTTATACTCTAGTTTACCTGTTACCATACCTAACGACCATATCCCATTACTCCCCGGCCATGCGGTTAGTTTAAAAACATCTAGAAGTCTTTTACATTTTTATATATAAAAAGTATATATAAAAGTTAGTAAAATTGGGCCAGTGCACCGGTGCAGGCATGGCCAAAATCAGTTTGGCCAATAAATCCATCATAAGGCATTTTTGGCATAGATTGTTGCATAAGTTGTATATGATTGTGGCCATTGCGGTTAATTTAAGCCTTCTCAAAAGTTTCTGCAATGTTCAGAAGCTAAAATTACTATATATGAATATAACATGTAAATGGGCGGGGCCAAAAGGGAGATTTTTCCAATCTGAAGTTTTGGGTTCGGATTTTGTTGTTTATAAACAGTAAACACCTTGAGGGTCTCAAAAAATGCCAAGCCTTCTACTATGAAATGCAGGTCGATGTGCATAAATGAGGACATTATAAGTGGTTAATCATTGACTCTGGTCTCTGAGGGTCATCAAATGGCCAAGAAAATATCAACTTTATTTGGTTGCGTGTTATCTTAAATCAGATTCTATTTTTAGGTGGCAAAAGATATGGGTCTCGTTCGCAAAATCAAGTCAACATTAACTCGATGGCTGCAGCTAATCAAATTAGTCCTCGTGGTTTTGATGATCAATTTTTTCTTTTACAATTTGAGGAGTGGGATAGTATACGATCCTGCATTCCTAGAAAATTCAACTAAAGAAAACGAGCTAATGGTTTCTTTTCCAGTAAAACTAAGGGCAAACTCCAAAAATATCAGTATTCATACCAATATTGGTGGTTACATATTCCACAACCACCGATTAAGATTATGGTATGAAGGTAGATGTATAGACTCTAGTGACGGAGAAAAGTTGACAGTACAGTTCTGTGATCCTGATTTACAGCAGGTGAGACTTAGTGACAACTTATGTTTCTTCCACTGCAGAAGATAATACTAATTGAGTATTTTTGGGAATTAATCAAAAACATTTAAAGTTGAATTACTAACCATATTGCCACCATAACTAAAATAAATATGAATGAAGGTAAATGTTTGTCATCATTAATAAATATACCCTCAGGCGTTCAGTCTAACGATGGATAATCGTCTGATATACGAGAGAACTGGAAGATGTGTCAACTACAAAAGCCATGACACTGCCAAATTTCTGGAACTGGTAGATTGCTCTGATGTCACAGAAAGGTTCTTTACAGAAAACACAGATGGAATGTTTTACATACAGCGTATCGTGAAAAATGAAGAGTTGTGCATCACACCAATGTCAGAGAGGAACGATATGAACGTTACAACAAGTCCTTGTCTGGAGGATCCTGTTGGATTAACACGTTGTGATAAGCATGCTTCCAGAATGCTACTGATGGAGGAGGGTTTTTTTCAAGAAGACAGACAATTGTTAAAGATGGCTGTTGTACCTCCAAATAGTTCATGTGACTTTAAAGCGTGTGGGTTCAACAAAAGAGAGCCGGTGAAACTCCTGCCACCTGGCCAGGTGGGAAGATGTACAAAGCTGTGGGAATGTGTGACACTTGCAGTAAAAACAACCCGAAGACCACATCTTATATTGCGTCTAGCTGAATCAGTGAGAGAAAGTCTGGGATTCGATCTTCCGATAGTTGCATACGACGACGGACCAAACGATTACCCTGATGAAATAAATCAGCAAATTGCAGAGTATCCCTTATTACAGTACGTAGTGAGTAAAAATGAAGATCTCGGTATAGCTCGAGGGAGGAATCTGGCTGTTATGCAGGTCAAGACTAAGTACTTCTTCCTTAATGATGATGATATCATGTTCAATGAATACACAAAACTCGATAAACTTGTTGAAATTCTGGACACTACCGATGTCACTGTGGCCTCAGCTGCTTACGATGTAGGGATTAACTTTACTGCATACCTTGGATTTGGATATTTTAACAAAAACAAGGCAATCCGTAAACTAGGAATTTACCATTCTGCTTGCACACTTGTCAACCAAACAATTCCAAACCATCCAAGTTGTGTCAGATGCGATATTACTTCGAACGCATTTCTGGCACGAACCAAAGAGATATTGGATATAGGAGGATGGGATCCAGAGCTAATGATAGCGGAACACAAGGATATATTTATTAGACTGAAGGCAGCTGGCATGAAAGTTGCACTTTGCCCGGATGTGAAAGTAAAGCACGCTCGTCCGTCAAGTAAAGCTAAAGGCGTGGACTACAAAGAAAAAAGGCATAGAGGAGGAGGAAGGTTCGATAAGTATGATTTAAAAAATATGATTCAAAAAATAAAGAAGTCCCTAAATGTGACCAACAATGAATTATAACTTAATGTTTAAATTGTAACAGGTAAGATGACAGTTTTTCATGAGTACTTGATAATAAAAGTAGCATTGAAACAGAGGTATTAACTGTACTAAATTCAGGTTTAAAGCTCTAATGAACAACAGATGGAACATTCAGAACCTATTCGATAGAACGGCAAGCCATAACTTGGTGATTAACAACGATACAAGAGAGATAACATACATACAGGAGAGGGATCGTGAATCATGTTAATGGTTTTATAATCATCAGACAGTTACCACTTTAAACATTGTCAAACAGAATTTGTATCTTCGAGACTTTAGTAGTCCGGCTGATAACTTTGGCATTAAAAAAGGTCGCCAACTCTTTTGGAATATAAACTCTTTCAGGATAGAATGGTTTTAACTAAAATTCCTACCCTCTCCAGAATAGAGCAGGGATTACCTGCTGATAGTTGTTGCTCTAGGGTAAAATAAGAGCTGTTCTCTGTTCGGGATACCTGAAGGGCCAATTATAAATTTTTGGCCTATTTCAATATTTCCCTTTTCAATCATCGTGTTCTTTCTTATATGAATATCATTGTATCGTATAAATCTGTCTTGTCGTTTACAGTTTAAGTTTTTAAACTCAATGTAGTTTAAAAAGTCTGATAAGTTATCAGACTAAATAAAAAAGTAGAGTAAAGTAAAATTTATGACATCACATCATCACACATGTCTACAAAATTTCATCGCACTGTGTGAAAAAATATATAATAAATATTTCCCCACCAACATTAATTATTTATCAAATACAATATTTAAAAACAATTTTACCAAAAACATTATTATCCTATTTTAAAGACTTCCCAGTGGAATAAAGATTTATAAAATGCTTATTTGCCACATAAGGATGGA